CAGACTTCAAACTATACTACAAGGCTATAGTAACTAAAACAACATGGTCTCCTTTGTATTAATTTCCAGCTTCATTCCACTCTGGTCTGAACAGATAATTGATATAATTTCAATTTTTAAAAATCTGTTAATATTTGTTTTGTGGCCTAAAATGTGATCTATTTTGGAGAATGTTCCATGTGGTGATGGAAAGAATGTATATTCTGTAGTTGTTGGGTGGAATGTTCTGTAAATGTCTGTTAAGTCCATTTGGTATAAAGTCCGGTATAAGTTATGTGTTTCTTTATCAATTTTCTGTCTCGATGATATGTCTAGTCCTGTAAGTGGGCTGTTAAATTTCCTCACTATTATTGTGTTGCTGTCTATTTCTTTCTTTAAGTCTAGTATCTGTTTCGTGAACCTAGGGGATCTGATATTCGGTGCATATATATTTAAAATCATTATATTCTCTTGCTGAATTGATCCCTTTATGATTATATAATGAGTTTCTTTGTCTTTTGTTTAGGCTTTTTAAAAATTTATTTTAACTCAGGATATTATGGGGGTACAAACATTTTGGTTACATGAAATGCATTTGCCTCGCTCAAGCCAGGACCACAAGTGTGTCCTTCCCACATACAGTGTGCCTGTCTCCATTAGCTGTGGGTTTACTCACCCCACCCACTCTACCCCACCCCCCACCTGTCCGGCACCCAGTGGGTATTACTACCATATGAACACCTTAGTGTTGATCAATTAGTACCAGTTTGATGGTGAGTACATGTGGTGCATGTTTTTCCATCCTTGTGATACCTCACAAACTTTTTTTTATTTAAAGTCTGATTTATCTGATATAAGTATACCTTCTCCTGTTTTCTTTTGGTTACCATTTGCATGGGCTATCTTTTTCTACCCCTTTACTTTAAGTCTATATGTGTCTTTATGGGTAAGATGAGTTTCTTATAACCAGCATATAGTTGGATCATGGTTTTTTATCCATTCTGCCTGTCTATATCTTTTAAGTAAAACACTGAATCTACTTATGTTCAAAGTTAATATTAATATATGAGGTTTTGTTCTTGTCATATTGTTAGTTGATTCCTAGTTGTTTTATAAATTCTTTGTTTCTTTTTCTCCTTTTGTCTTTGTGGTTTGCTGAATGTCTGTTATGTTGCCATTTAATTCTTTTTCTCCTTTTTGTGATTGTTTTATAAGGCTTGTGAATTTTATATTTTCATGTATTTTTGTGATGGTGAATATTGACCTTTTGTTTCCATGTTTAGAATTCCTTTGAGCATCTTCTGTAGGGACAGTCTAATGGTAATGAGTTCTCAACATTTGCTTCTCTGAGAAAGACTTTATTTCTCCTTCATTTACGTAGCTTATTCTGGTAGAATATAAAATTCTTGGCTTGCAGGTGTTTTTTTTTTTTTTTCTTGCAGCACTTTGAAAATGCCATCCTATTGTCTTCTGGTCTGTAATGTTTCTGCTGAGCAGTCTGATATTAGTCTGATGGGGTTTTCCTTATAGATGACTAGTTGCTTTTCTCTTGCTAATTTTAAGATTCTCTCTCTCACTTCACATTTAATCATTCTGATTATAATATCATATGGTGAAGTCCTTTTTGCAATGTATTTGCTTGAGTATTGTTGGGCCTCCCATGTCTGAATGTCTAACTCTCTTGCTAGTTCTGGGAAATTTTCATTGATTATTTTCTTAGCTAGATTTTCTAAACTTTTTTATCTCTCTTCCCCCTTGGAAATACCAGTTGCTTTGTGTATTCTCAGACATGGCGAAGGCTTTGATCATTCTTTCTTTTTATTTTTCCATTATTTTTGTGTGACTGGATTATTCCTAAAAACCTGTCTTCAAGTTCTGAGATTCTTTCTTCTGCTTGGTCTAATCTGTTTTTGAAGCCTTTGAATATATTTTGTATTTCCTTCAATGAATCTGTCAGCTCCAGAATTTCTGTTTAATTTTTTATTTTTAGATATCTATCTCCTTGGTAAATTTCTCATTCACATCTTGAATTTATTTTCTGATTTATTTGTATTGATTTTCAGATTTCTCTTGCATCTCATTGAGCTTATTTAGAATCAATATTTAGAATTCTTTATCTGGCATTATGAGGAATTCTTTTTGATTGGGATGTGTTACTGGAAAATTATTGTGGTCCTTTGGTGGTGTCATATTTCCTTTTTCTAAAAAAAAAGTTTTCTGTGTCCTTACATGGATAGCATCTGATGTAGCCATCTCTTGTTTTGATTTTTTGAAACTGCTTTTGAAGGCGAGAATTTTTTTCCTAAAGATGTATATATGTTGTTGGTTGAGTAGATCACTTTGGCTTTGATTTTGGGTGCCTGATCTTTGTATAATCTTTTAGCTAGTACACAGAGTCAGTGGTATCTGTGATTTCCTTGGTGTCTTAAGGAACAGTTATTTGTTGAGGCTGTGGTAAAGTTTTGCTAGGGAATTGATTGCCAGATAATCTGTTTTTGGATCCTAGTCGTGAAAGCAGAGGACTCACTATGCCTGATTTTAGGACCCAGGTCAGCTTACACTTAGCAGTAGTGTTAGTGTGTCATGGGGGGCCAACTTTTGGGCCTTCAGGTGGCTTGCTCAAAAGCTAGTAGTTGGAACAGAGGGTCAGGTGTGTGGGTGGGTTCTCAGGCCCCTGAGCAGCTGGTGTGATATGGGAGGTTGCAATAGCAGTGCAAGTAGTCCATGATGGTGTTACTGTTAGCTGTAATGAATTGGGCAGGCTAGTCACAATTCCCACAACTGCTTGTAACAGGGCAATGGGTATTGTCCTAAGTGTGTTTAGGAGAGCTTGGTCTCCCCTATCCTTTCCTGGCTGGATGAGAGCTACAGCCATAGCACTTTAAACTCAGCCCACAGGCAGGCATGGTCCGGCATTAAACTCTCAAAATGGTGCTAGTGGAGGGCTTACAATCAAAGAGGGCAGGGCCCCTTTTAGGCAAGCAGCATGAGCAAGAGATTGTGGGGAGTGTGGTCTGCTTGCACCTCAGTCTCACAGGAGCCCATAGCAGTGCAATGGGAATTGTCCTAGGTGTGTGCAGGAGAGCCTGGGTTGGGTGGGGATACATCTTCATCAGCCCAAACTCAGCTTGAGGGCAGGGCACTGTCCAGCTTTAAACTCCCAAAATAGTGCCTTTAGTCTGTGCCCAGAGGAAGTGGAGTCCTCCTCAGGCAGGGTACACTAGCAGAAAACTGTGGGGAGTGCATTTCACTCAAGACCTGGTCCCATAGCAGCTCATGCAGGATGGTGGGCACCATCCCAAATGTGTGCTGGAAAGCCATCTCCCTGCTCTCCCTCTTTTTCCTCCTCTCTCTCTCTCTGTCCTTCTAAAGGATAATATATACTTTTTAACTTTTATGTCTTAATCTCTGGGTGAGAAATCTTTTTCCACCCATACCGTGAGCACCTCCTAGGCCTTGCATCCTAACAATTTTAATTGATTGATTTTTCTCTTCATTGTGAGTATATTTTCCTGCTTCTTTGCATGCCTGGTCATTTTTGACTGAATGTCAAAATGCCTTGTTGAGCTTTGTTCTGGAATGAAGTTAAGATACTTGCAAACAACTTAAGCCTTTTGGATCTTGTTTTTAATATTTGTTCATCAAAACTGGACCCATTTTTAGTCTAGTGCTAATTATTTCCAACAACTGAGACAAGATTCTTCAGAGTACCCAATGTCACAATGTCTGAGTACCCAATGTCCACTGAATTTACAAAGTTTTCCAGACTTGCCAATAAAAGCATACTCTATTCCTACCCATGTTTCAGCACTGGGTACTATTTCCTCTAATTATTTTATTTCAGTATAATAGATTTGATTGGAGAGGGAAGAAGAGAGGTCTTTCCTTCTTTTTGTTGGAGACACATTTAGAATTCCCAAGAGTATACAACGGTCATTTCCTTTATTAATATCTTAGGCAAAGAAATAAAATTTCCCTTTCTTCCTCGAATAAAATAAATATCTCAATATGCTTTGTAGCATTCTGGTTCCCCCAGGTCTCCATCATGTTGACATTATCACATTTGTTGAAATTGGATTATGATTGATCACTTTTTATTTCCTAAAATTATCTTTGCATTTAAGATACAGCTTAGCTTGTTATCAAATTAGAATTTATTTTCTCCTTCAACATTTGAAAATAGCACTCTTTTGTAATTTTTATTCAGGGTTGCTGTTTTGCTGTTGAAAATGTGAGGTTTATTTCATTTTTATTCCTTTGAACATTGCTTTAGCAGTGCTACTCAAAGTATAGTCCAAAGACCAGTACCTATACATAAATTGTTTCTTACCAGTTCTTTATTAAACAAGAACAGAAATAGAGTAGATGTTACAAAACTTTTAGAGCAAATTGACAGAATACTTTTACTTATGTTGAACCTAATAATAAAATAATTTCCACTTGTAATTGCATATCCTTTTTATTCATGTCATTTTCCAATATTTTATCTTAGAAAATTACTGGTCTGTAATATATTGGATATAAAGCAAGTAACAGCATTTATAACAATAACCAAAAAACAAAACAAAAACTTGATTCTTCTCTATAGATTGTTTGAAAACACTGCTTGGTGTAATCAGAAACTCTGGCCATGGAGACCCATGGCATCTTAGGATAAGAGATCTCATAATCAGTGGTGCTTGAGATCACGAATCGAGGACAGAAGTCCTGGAGTTTACAGAGAACAGATTACTGTGTTCACGGTATAAGGCCTTCCGCTAAGTCACTTAATATTGTGCAAATGGGAGGGCTTCATGGCTTTACGTTTGAAGTAAGGGTTGACTGATCCAGAGAATCTAGCCTGGGTGAAGGAAAAGATGTGGGCACCATGAGTCATGTCATAGAAAGAAACATTATTGTCCTCATAATCCAAGAAAATCACAATCTTCTGTGGATGCTTTTCTATTGAGAGAGGCTCTTCCAGAGCAATGTTTTGGGAGCAATAGGCGAGAGCCCTATATTCACATCCCGTCTTCTCTAAGACCCTGAATATCTCTGATGGTTCTTTGGATGATCCATTCCCATGTATATGCTCATAAATGCCTAGAGTCCACTCATCGGTGTCCCCGATGTCCACCTCCCAATAATATTTCCCTGATGTGAAGTCTTTCTTATCAAGTGTGATAAGGTTGTCATCTCCTTGCTTATTACTGAGAGATAGATCCTGTGTTTCCTCTCTGCAGTTCTCTTTACTCTCTGGGTCAGAATTATTCTGGTGAAACATTTCATGATTTAGAGTCACAACGGCTAGAAGGAAAAGAAAGGGTCACTATTGTATATTTCAGAGAGCTGTTATACAGGTGAAACTGTAAAGAAAGGCAAAACGTGGAGCCAGTGGTAAAACAATACCTCCCCTCTCGGTGTGTGGTGGGGGTTGCATGTGCTCTTACCGAGGAGTCTGTGCTACTTGTCTCATTTTACCTTATCGCTGCTACTATCAGTGTCTTAGCAGAGTGCCTGTGTGAGCCAGGACTTGCAGCTTTTACTAGAGAATACTGTTCTTTCCATGTTCTCCATAAATTAGAAACATGTTCTTCAATTCATACTAGGTCTCACATGCCTCTTTAAAAAGAGCAGTGGAGTACTCTTGCCATCATGAGCACTTCTTATTTAGTTAGGGGTCTCCTCACCTGAGGAGCTATGTTAATTTCTGTTTTCAGAACCAGGTGGACCTCACAGGCAAGAAAGCTGTGTCAGTACATGAAGACAGAAACACAGCCAGAGTGGCCAATCCTAGCAGGAAGGTTCAGTTCAGGCTTACATTAAATGATCTTCATGTTCCTCCCTCCCTTCACTAGATTAATGGTGCCTCTGTCTTTTCAACTAGGGATGGTATTAGAAAGGAAAAATAAACTATCCGAAGACAGGTTGGAAGGGAGCCAAAGATAAACAAAAACACTCACCAGGCTGGAAATGTTCCTTTCTCCAGTCTGGAAAAGAGCAATACAAATTGAGACTAGAATGCAAACATACCCAGGGAATGAAAAGGAAAAGACACTTCCTTCTTGGGCTCATTACTTTCTCCTTCCAATTCTCCTCACTTCCTTCAGTAAGCCTCTCAAACTCTGGGTAACATGTGGAAACCACAGGACAAGCAGCATGCTTTCTGTGCTCTGTCTCAGGTAAGGAACTATGCCCTAATTCAGTCTGATACTGGAGAATAAGCTTCTCCGGCCTGAGCCAGGTTCGGAGCACACCTGGACCAGGTGCGTGGTGCTCAAGGTGCCCTTGCACTGTGCTCTTGAGACCTGTGAGGCCCGCCTCTGAGGATGAAAGCCATAAAAGCCTTTTATTCTATTTTATTGTGGTTTCTTCCCAGCCTAAGAGCTCCTTAGAAGAGGGCTTAAGCTTTTGGCTGAGGCCTTTACACTGTCCCCTGTTATTTTGGCCCAGTAATCAGATGTTTTATATTTTTCTCCAGAGTGAGATTTCTCATGGGGAGTAGGACAGCATTTTCTTCTTTCTGGGGCCACTTCTCTCATAATGGGCCTCGTGGTTTTATTTAGAGATTGGGTAGTCTCATAGAGTCTTGGGACAATACACAGATAAGGACTTATCCTTAATTTTGATGGGAGCTGCACTGGTCTCTCATTGAACTGACCTCCAGTAAGAAATTTAGCACTCTGATATGTACAGCCTGTGAGTGCTTGAGTCGAGAAGGATGTGTATTCCACTCTTTTCGTCTCAGAGACAAGGAGACTGAGGTCAAGAAAGAGAAAGTGACCTGATTCCTCTGCTATAATTGGTAGTGTTGAAACTAAAACTCATGTGTCCTAATCATTAGTACTTTGCTCCCTCCTTTAGAATCACGGGAACACATTTAAGCAGCTCGTGAAAGAAAACTGTCAATAGAAACTGCTTAAGCTTCACTCTTGGGAGGGCTCCTTTGACCTCTCCCACCAGAGAGGGCTGCACACAGGGGCCTGGCTCCTTGCTTACTTCCCACATGGACTTTCAGTTCCACAGAGTCAGCGATAACGGCTTATGATACCAACATCTCACGCAGCGTCTGCCGTTAAAAATTGCCCAAGTATATGTTCAAGGAATGGCCTAGCATGTTTGTGAAGTCCAACTTTAGGTCACACATGCACACACATTTGTAAACCCACATAATACACAGACACAGATATTAGAAGGATATTAAAAGTAGCCAATTTTCTCTACCACCAGATAAATATATTTTTACATATGATGTTAAAATATTTTGAAAGATTGTTTTTCAATACTTAAAATCTATATCCTTATATATGAAACTTTATTTTCTTTACTTTGAATCAGTAATATAAAATATATAAAATCATAGTTAATATATTTTTCCAAATATGAAGTATATTATCTGCTCTTTTAAACTTTGTCCTGTAGAAATGCTGACATAACAAAGTATTCTTTATTCTTCCTAGATCTCATAAAAATCAATGAGTTCTGTTCCTTCCTTCTCCAAAGTACATGGCTTAACAGTTCATATTGAGTTTACCCCACCTAGGTTGTAGAATTTACCAGTTAGAAGTTATTTCTCCTTCATGCTTAGTTCTGGAAAACAATGGAATATTTGAGCCTTCAAATACAAAATAGCACACATTGATATCAAATCAATGTTTTCAGCTTGCAAGGTGTGTGTGTGTGTGTGTGTATGTGTGTGTGTGTGTGTGTCTGTGTGTTTATGCCTGTACTTATTATGCTCATAATACCAGAGGCACTTGGAAAGATTTAAAACCAGAAAGTTCCTTACCAGGATATATCAGGGCCTTCTTCCAATCTAAAACAGAACAAATCCAGGTAAGACAAGGTGAGACATTAACCTGTGGCTTATATTCCTTTCCTTTCCTCTTATTTTTTTTTCACGAGTCATCATGAAATCTTTAGTCTTTTCCTCTAAAGAGTGGAGCTGAGAACATGTTGGGCATTGGGACATCACATGGTGTCGAAACAGAGACTCTTACCTTCACTGTACAATGCCTTTCGCCGTTCTGAAAGAAACAGCATTCAATGAGAGATCCAGACAGGTATGAAGGGGGCAAACAAATTCCAGACCAGGCATAAGAAGAAACAAGACTCACCAAGCTCTGCCTTGAGTTTCACTGAAAGAGGAGGAGATACAAAACCCATCAAATTGAGTTTTAGCTGATCCTGAGTTTAGGGAGTAGCTAAATGGATTAAGTTTGGCCTTCCCTTACGGGTCCCCTAGTTAAGTAGATGAGAAGGATTAGCAAACATGTACATCCTATCAAAAATGACAAGTGCTAAGAAAAGTTAAGTGAAAAGTGCCACCAGGTCACAGAGGAAGAAATGTCCATGCTTCGTGGGAGTTTAAGATTTCGTGGGTGTTTCTGAAGCTTACTCTTGAAGGATGAGTAGGAAGAGAATTTAGTGGAAGACACTTCCACAAGGAGAAACAGCAGTTGCGACAGGGAGGCATGAAAGAGCATGGTGTGGACTGACCGGCCACACTTCAGGGGCTTTATGACCAACCACTGCCCACTGGTCTTCTAGCTTCCCACGTGCGTTTCTCCTCTCCATAGGACTCTCGGCTCTGTGGAATGCTAGTACCCTGTGCTTCCCTTGGGATCCTTTGGCACCTTCAATTTCTCCATCCACCTTACACAACTGGTATCTCCAGCTTCCCCATAAACCTCCGATCTGTGCTGCTGCCCAATTTACCTTTGGTCTCCAGTGCCATTTCCTTTTCATTCCTCATCTGATCTCTTTCATGAGATTCTTTTTTACTTTTCTTTATTTCTCTCTTTTTGGCTTCATGTTTTCTCCAGCCAACGTAGCTGAGCCCAGTGAGGAGGAGCCCCAGCACAGGGAGAGCCCCAGCCAGGGCTGCCTTCCATGGAGACACCCTGGGAAAGAAGGGCTCTGACAGGGCACATGGAGACACAGTCAGAGACCAACCTGGGGGAGGCCCAGCCCTCAGTCCAAGGCTCCCACCAGCCCTCCTTCCCCATCCTGCCCTTGCCACACCCCCTTGGCCTGTGTGCCCCACTGACCTGGGAGGAAGATGGCTGACGCCTTCTCCTGGCCAGAGAGGGGATTCTGGATGGAGCAGGTCACATTGCCCATGGAGCTGTCCTTGACAACAAGAGAGGCCTCCACATGAAAAAGCCCATCTCCATCTTGGGTCTGAGACTCCGGGAGGGACGGCAGCTTCACTCCCGCTGTGTCTCTCCACTGCACCTTGGGTTTGGGGAACCAGCCACCTGAGGAGCACAGCACTCTGATCCCACCTTCCTCGGGCCCCGTCATGTGTACATGAGGGGCAGAGCCCAAGCCTAAGGAGAGAAGGCGCGTGCCTGAGGTTGGTGGTCCTGGGGGCTCAGAGGACTGAGGCTGAAGGCCAGGCTGCCCTTCAGTTGGTTGAGTATACCAAAGCTCAGGGTCAGCGTCAGGATGACCTGTGGTTCAATTTAGAAATCAATTTACTGCCTTTGAAAGTACTGCCACTGTACTTGGACTGAGAGAGCTTTGGGGTCATTCCAGGAAGAGAAAACAACGGGGACAATTAAAACTAGAAAAGGAGTTTAATTCTATTAATTTTCTTTTCTGATTGGGTCAAAATTAATGTTTGAGAATTTCATTATTTATCTGAACAAATAATACTACTGAATTTTCTGGGGTCCTTTGGGATGTCAAAACATCTTCAGGAATTTAAATTCTTTGGCATTTAAAGCAAATAGAGAATAGAGTAGGCAGTCTTAGCCTCACCACAGTTTATGGCACTGACATTCTGCAACCGAAAGGAGCACATCAACGCCTGGAAGACCACAAGCAGGGCCAGGTCAGGAGCAGAGGCCCTTGCCTTCTCTTTGCTTTACATCATAACTGATGCTCTGGGCCCAGTTAATATACCTACAACATGCAGCTGCACAACAGCCTCTTGGAACAGGTCACCATCTTGAAAACGACACCGGTACTGGCCATCGTCAGAGACCCGCACTTGTCGTATCTGCAGGACCACGTCCCCCTTGCTGAGGGAGGCTACCACCAGCTCGGCCCTGCCACGGTACTCCAGCATTTGCTCCCCGCCTGGGTCCTGTCCGTTCTGGAACACCAGCACAGCGGGGGACAGCTGCGCTCGATACCACCGGATGTCCATGTGGGCTGCGCTCTGCTTGGGGGACAGCTGGCAGGGCAGAGTGGCATCTTCCCCAAGCAGCACCACAATAGGCTCAGCTGGTCCCTTCACAGAAAACCTGGACACTGTGAAAATCAGACAGATCGGGGAAATGAATGAGGGACAATGAGAGAGAAAAACCATCTGCATTTCCTTATTTAGGGACTCAAACGTATGTTTTATTTGCATTATTTTCCAAAAAAAAGTAATATATGTCTTGAAATTAAAAAAATATTTAGGTATATGTGTGTGTGTGTATACAGATGTATAAAATCTCTTATGTCGTCTTCAGCTGTGTTCCCCTCACCCCAACCAACAAATTACATTTACTTTTCCGGAAGTAATAACTTTACAGTTAGGCATTCAAAAAGACATACATTTTTCTATGGATTTCCAAATAGTATGTATATGTCAGTTATGTAAAATCTATGTAAAAAGAGATTAATTGAGAATTAAATGTGGCAAAGTAACTTATCAAGCAATTATCTTTTGGGGGGCAGTGGAAAGCACGTCTCTTCTCCCTCATCCCTGTCTCCCGGCACCCTGCTCCTAGGAGGTAAGTGCACATTTTGACCTTGAGATTTAGGTTTGAGGCAGGGGTGGGGGATAGTAGTGTTTTATCCCAGGATGAAAAGTCGAATTATAAGGTGAGCTAGGCCTTTTGGTTTGTTTTTAAATAAGTGTGAAGGCTTGGAATTAATTTTTTCATCAAAATTATGCCCCTGCGAGGGGTGCGGGACTTGGAGGCCTGTGCTCCACGTATTAAGAGTCAGGGCAACCCTTAGCAGAGAGGGTGGTTGGATTTCCCAGGGGAGGGAGGGAGGGTGCTGCAGGCCACAACGGGGACTTTGTCTGAATTATAAAATACGCTCCCTCATCAAGTCACTTACAGTCATCGCTTGAAAATCATATTACTGTAGAAATCCATGAAGACTAAAAGGTGACTGGTGCCCCTGGACAAAACTTAAATTGGTAGAGGCCCAAGACATTGTGGATGCTATGAATGGTCAGGACTTAAGTAAGGGTCCTCAAATATGGCGACTCTGGAGTTGGGAAGAGTTCAGAAAGGGATGGCTGCATTGGTGCCCAGGAGGACTGAGTACAAAAGACAAGGGCATATGAGCTTAGAGGAAGTAGCCCTGGCCGGCCTGTCCCAGAGAGTGTGGGTGAGGCCATCCTGGGCAAGGAGCATGACTTTGGCCATTGTGCTAGACTGAAACCATGGTCCCTCCATCTTCTCCATTCCTGTATAAAACCCAGACTACCATTGTAACTCAAGGGATATATGTCCTTCCCTACCTGATACTGAGATGTTGGCCATACATGTTATGCGAGCAATTTAATTTTGAAAAAGGCATTTGACATTATGTATAGCCACAATGCAGTAGAAAAAAAATCATTGTTTCACAAATATGAGATCATTATATATCAATTTCTGCAACAATGGACATCCAACCATTTTAGTATACATGGTCAGCTATTCCTAATTGTTTTTAGCACTGCCTATACTGTCATGTTCAAGATATTACTGTATGGGTGAATATTTACATTGCTTCCAAATTATTGTTACTACAAACAGCCCTGCAATAAACATTATATAATATATACGAGGGCTGTCTGGAAAGTATCCAGCCATTGTTAAAATTATTTTTCATGATACATGGCTGGATACTTTCCAGACAGCCCTCACATATATGTGTGTGTATGCAAATGACAGAGTATTTCTCTAGGAGACATTCTCATCGAATTGCTGAGTCAACATGTATGGACATTAAAAATTTTGATACTCTTCACCTGACTGACATCAAGTTAAAGAGATAATAACACAGGAACGTCATTTTTGTGATCCCCTATCCAGTTTCTCTCCAACTCTGAAGTCTGAAAACCTTATCCGGAGGGGCCCTTTTCTTTTATGAAAGAGAGAATTGTGTCCCAGAGAGAGTAAGCGATGTGTCCACGATCAGAACTAAATAGAGATCAGGAATCCTGAGTCCAAATTCTTTGTCCCCAGACTTAGGTTTTCTTGGCAGTGTCAACATTACCAGGTATATTGTAACAGTCACATCAAAAGTAAGCAGGCTAAAATCACCTACACTCAATAAAGGTTTAGATAAATGTCACAGCTCTGAGCTTTGCGAGGTCTCCTCACGGGGCAGGGGCACAGATGTGAGGGCGTTCTCTTGGCTGATGTGTGACCAGGTGTTTTCATTTGCGTGAGAGGAGACGTTGGAAACAAGCCAATAAAGCAAAAGCACGAGGCAGAACACTGACCTGCTGAGCCCCGAGCAGATGCCTGGAGGAGGAGAACGGGGAGGAGAAAGCCAGCCGGAGAGAAGCCGGGAAAACCCTCCATGTTCCCCAGGGCATGGGGGGACGTTCACTGCGACGACAACGGGGTGCTCTGCAGGAGAAGGTGGTGAGGGAGCAGAGCAGTGGAGGTTCTTAGAAAAAAAATCCTCTGTTCAAAGATCTAACTGTATACGCAGGCTTTGGGCTGTTTGTCCCTCACAGACCTTGCCACCAACACCATCAACTCCTTCCTCCTCCCCAGTGGGTTTTCCTTCTCTTTCTTCTGAAACCCAGCGGTTCCCCAGCGGTGTAGAAAGCTGTCAATGGCTCCCTGGGCTCTGCGTCTCTCTCGTACGTATCTGAGGATTCAGCTGTCACCAGCGCTCTCTGGGAACCTGAGTTCAGTGCTGAGAATCGAAGTGCAGACCCAGTCCACTCCCTCAGCCACTCTGTCTTCAGTTTTCTTACATTCATTTTGACCACGGACAGCTCTTGTGGCTTCACTCCCAAAGGGAAGGAACCTTTTCTTACCGTGGGTCCCAGAGCGCAAGCCCCTCTCTTTTCCGGAGCCGCACCTCCCACAGACACTCCTGCACGTCACCACGCGTTTCTCTCTCACCGTCTGACTGCCCTGATGGATTCCTGGCAGTCCCCGTCTCCCGGGTGCACCTACAGGGCCGGCTCCGGAGACGATTTGCACCGCATCGTGCTTGTGCTCAGCATCCAAGGGTGCGGCTGCAGGGGCTGGAGCCAGCAGGTTTCCCACCCTTCACCGGATTGGGAAAATATTATCTGGAACAAGGACCAACAGGCTGCCAGGATACCCTGGCTTTTGAATGCCTCTCCTAGAGACGGTCTAGGGAGAAAATCACAACCTGCCTCCAGCTCTTCAGTTACTTTGAAAGTGGAAATAATAAAGGTCACCCCAAGAGACTTTGGACGGGGCAGAGTGATAGAATGATAGGAATTCTGATTTGTGCTTTTGTTGAAAATGTTTAGTGTAGCTCCCTTTCTTCACCTGCAAAAGGCTGAAACTACATTATTAGGGGAGAGGAAATCATCTTCCTATATGCTATTCAGGTCTGCGGATCATCCCCCCAAAAATTATCAGCAGAGGGTTGAGGTCAGAAAATAACGAATGTTGAGTACCTATGTGAGGCAGAAGTAGAGAAAACCAGAGTGGCTTTTTGGGAAATAAAAAGGCCCTGAAGAGAGGGGCCAGTGAGAAAGGCAAGAGTAGACTGAGGGAAAGTCCACAGAACACTGAGTTGACCACCATGGGTTTTGTCATTATCGGTGCGGTTTTATTTACAATTACAATAAAATTATAAGCTTGCTGTCTCAGATGTAAACAATTAAAAAGGCATAAAATATAAATTGATAATCAATTATCCATTTTCCATTCAGTATTTATTTTTTCTTCCAATGTAACATTTAATACCAGATTGTTCTCGGTCTTTCTGTATCTCTTTCTTTATATAACCGTATATTTATGAAGCAGATCTTAACCTCCGATAGTAAACTAGTTCAAAAACGTTTCTGTTAACTTATTTAAAAATGGTATTAAATCTGTCTTTGATTCCTCAGCCAATCAGGCCGGGGAGGATTATGTCTTTGTTATTATTGAACTTCCTACCCCCTTTCCCTGGATGATGATTGTACAAAGGTCCCTGGAGTCCAGTGCAGTCCACAGCATGCAGGATTCTGCAAATGCCTTGCAGTTTGGGCCCATCAGTGGTTAGCACTAGGATGCTCATCGACCCGGCTGTGTTACATCACTCCACCATTGCCTCCAGGAAGATTGTCATGAATATGGTTCAAGACTTTTGATACAACTCTTCAAGAAGAATCTGAAGATCTGTGTGTCCCTTCCTTAAATTTTGAGAAACCTCCACCTCGTTCTTTCAAAGCTTCTTTCTGTTCTCTTTAAGGACAGTAGCTCACAGACATTTTTTTCCCACTGTATTATACAATTGCTCTATTTAACGTATGCATTTGACAATATAGAAAGAAAGGTCTTCTTCATACAGTTCCTATTTTAAGCCAAACGAATATGCCTGAAGCTGAAATATTATAATTGGAATCAGGAGATGGAAAAACTTGGAGGAAAACTCAAGTAGCAGTTAAAGCAAAGTTAACACTATTAAAATGTCAAGTAATATCCTGCTCCTTAACACATACTGATATTTTCACTTAAAATATCTCACAACGTGTTCTTTCTGCAGCTTGCCTTTTCCTCCTTAACAATATGTAATAGACAAATTACAAAAGATTGTATTGTTTTATGATTGCAAATTTTCCATTATATAGAATCTTTTTTTGTTAGAGACTGAGTTTCGCTTTGTCATCCAGGCTGGAGTGCAGTGGCAGGATCATAGCTCACCGCAACCTCCAATGCCTGGGCTCAAGCGACCCTCCTGCTTCTGCCTCCGAGATTATAGGCGTAAGTCTCTGCACCCAGCTCAAACATCTAGATTTAAACATGAATTTTATTACCTTCATAACTCAATATGAAGATCATGACTCAAAACAAGAATCAGTAACTTCTCCAGTATATCATTTTGCTCAAAATAACAGTTTCCAAGAATGTATCAATGTTAAGTGAAGGCTTACTATATGTATATTGTATCATTTTGGTCATGATATAAAATTGAAAATTGTCAATGTTCATTAAAAGGAAATATTGGCTGGGCTCGGTGGTTTCCCCCTTTTATTTCCGGCCTTTTGGGGGGCGGGGTCGGGGGGTTTGTTTGGGGCCGGGGTTTCAGGTTGGGCTTGGGCACCTTGGGGGGCCCCCTTCCTTCCAGAGGATTAAAAAAACTTGGCAGGGCTTGTTGTTGCTTGCTTTTGTTCTCGGTTCTTTTGGGGGTTGGGGCGGGGGGTTCCTTGGGGTCTGGGGTTTTGGGTTTGTTTTGGGTTGGGTTGTTGCCTTGGCCTTTTGGCCGGGGCACCGGAAAGGAATTAAAAAAGAAAAAGAAATTTTATCCATCTTCTTGATGTGTAATTTCCTTCTTTATGTAGGAAGAGGCCAAATTCATTAGATCTTGAAGGTAAGGGTGACAGATTCTCTCAGTAATGTTACTGTGAGCCCACTTTGGTATCCTCTCAGTAAGAGGTCAGATTTTCACAGTCTAGAACTAACCTCCTGGGAGCATAGCATTTTTCAGTATCTTTCCCAAATCAGTTCATTGACTCATGGGTGTAAAGACAAGTTGACCTTTAGAAGCAGTTGGTTAATTATATATCCACGCTTATCTTCCATTCAGTTAACCTTTGCCAAGTACAGCCACTTTTGTGCTCAAGAATGGGCATCCCTTCCCGTTCTTTCTCAACATAGGTATTGCTTTTGTCTACTTGTTTCAAACTGGGACTTCAGTGGCTATATTCCTCTAGGAGATGCAAGGTCTATCTGGTCTATTGGCACTTCCTGCTTCCTAGGCTTTGATCTGCTCCACTTTGCTCAGGACCAGTTTTACCCACATAGGTATTTCCTTTGCTTAAGAGAGTTGGCGGCTCCCTTGGGCAATTCTGAGAAGATGCATTGTCTTTCAGATTGCTTTCTGCTTTCCAGAAGTGTGTCCTCCCTGGCAAGTCAGGGTCTGGTAGTAAATATTAGCTGTGTTATATCTTTTAGCCAAAAAAAAAAATGATGATGTAGCTGAGAATTCTAATCTAGTTCCTGCAGCTGAGGAACTGGAGTAGGATTGAGCCAGACATAAGGGAGTTTGTACCATATGAGATCAAGTTCAAAAAGGCAAAATAATATGTAGTCTTAGAATTCAGGAGACTCATTATTTTCAAAGACAGGGTATAAACGGGTGAGGGTAAAAAGTAAAAACACTGGACTCCAGGATTAACTTTACCCAGCTGCCTTCATCTTTTAGATAATGTCTACTTGGAGGAAGAAAAATAATTTGGAAAAAGCTACAAGGGGAGATTGTTTAAGGAACTGACTACCAGAAGTCTCATTTTAATCTCAGAAAGATAGTCTTCCTTGAGACTCCAATAAACATAATAAATAGATATAGATGC